CAAACAGGTCTGTCAAAGGAGACTGCCATTTTTTCCCGATTAAATCGAAGGCTTCCCTGTGTAAAGTCCACTCCGTGGGAATGACGCTGTCCTGCCTTGATAAGGAGTCCGCAAGAATGTTGAAACGTCCGGGAATATGACGAGCCCTTAGGTAACATCTTGTGCATTCGGCAATGGCAAAAAGGTGTTGCGTGACTTGTAAAAGACTCATTGATCTGGTTCCTCCCTGCTTGTTCACGTAAGCTACTACCGTTGAATTGTCTGTGGCTAGCATGACACTCTTGCCGTGCAGACTCCAACTCCAGTGAGCCAATGCTTTTACAATTGCTAACATTTCCAATACATTGATGTGGTATACTCTCTCCTGTGGAGACCATGTGCCCTGAACCTGACACTGGTCCATGTGCGCTCCCAATCCTGTGGCCGAAGCGTCTGAATATATTGTGACATCCTGAGGAGGTGGACGAAATGGGGCGCCCCGGTAGAACATATGACTCCTGAGTCCAACAAAGTAATTCTGTCTTGACATGATTCGGGTAAAAATTTAATGTGTCTAGATCCAAAGTTCTGTTCTGATTTATCCATACTTGGGTTTCCCGAAGATGTATCCGGATGAATGATTAGGCCCAAATGCGTAAACACATGAATTATAAATTTTGTTTGCATTACAAGTTTGTTTGTGATCGTATTCATGGCTAAGAAATCGTCCAGACAACCGTGAATGGCTATGCGTCTGTGATGAAGAAAAGTTACAATGGGAGTTATCACTGCCGTAATCAGCCAAGGCGCAAGGGATATGCCGATTGGTAGGACTCTGAACTGATACCTGCGACCATTTACTGCGAACATCAGGTATCTCTGTGACCGAGGATGTATAGGCACATGAAGATAGGCGTCCTTGAGATCCATGCTTATAAACTTGGCTTCTGGTTGGATAAGATTGCACAGATTGCTCAAAGATTCCATCTTGAATTTTGGTGGTTTTCGTAGAAAACTCTTGTTGAGGATTTTCAGATCTATAATCATGCGCATTTCTGCTGTTTCCTTCTTGGGGACTAGAAAAAACGGAGAATAAAACCCCTCCGAAGTGTCCTGCGGGGATATCTCTATTATTGCTTGCTTCTCTAATAGCTAATGAATAGATTTCTCGGCCGCAACTAGACGCTGACCTTGAATCACAAAATCTGCGACTGCTCGGATGGCATGTGACTGGCGGCCGAACCTCCCAAGGTAGGATGAATCCCCGACAAACTACTGATAGTATCCAAGTGTCCTTTGTAATTTGCTCCCAATTCTTGTGATACTGCGCTAGACGACCCCCAACTGGCGAGGGAGCTACCGGCTGAACAAATTCGAAATCCAACTCCAATTCAGGGGACAGATCCAAATCATAAGGCATAGAATGAACTGTTGGTATCGAGTCTAAACTTCCTAGCCCTTGAGGGGTGAAAGGACCTAGTTCCCCTTCCTCCACCTCTAGAACTAGGAGGAGCTCCCCGCTGAGATGGAGGAAAAGTATGTGGCCTAGTATCCATGGCCCTGTCAAAACTTGAACGTTGTAGAGGGGCACAACGATTCATAGACTGTGAGCGGGAGCCTGAGCTAGACTGTGTTCCTTCTCTCCTACTCCTAGGAGCAGATCTGAATCTATTTTGGTTCAATAGGGTTGAAGCCAAACGCTGATTGAGATTCCTGGAAGTAGTAGCATCTCTTGCTTCCACCGTTTGCTGACATTGACCGTTGAAAATCTCCTCACAATTTAATGGCTGCTGGAACATCAAATCTTTAGTAGACTCTGGTAAATTCCAAACTGAGCTTAATTTATGACTCCTCTCCATAGCAGTGAGTCTACCCAGCGAATACACCTGGTTCTGAGTAGCATCCGATACACCCTGATATAACACATCCAGGAAGGAGTGAGCCAATGCAACCTCATGCACTGACATAGCCACTAAGGTATCGTTTTTAACTCCTGAATAGTCTTTGAAAACCGGAGGAAGCAGAGCACGGACACCAGCCGCAAACCAGTTTATATATGATAGTATGTCAATAGAAGAATGGGCTGCAGTATCCAGTTCCTTGAATTCTCTAGGAAGACATGGTATGACATTGCCTCCATGACTCCTAGCTTCCAGTAAACTAAAGTCCTTATCCAAATGAGGCAAACTAGCTGGCAGATCCCAACTGTGGATCGCATAGACTGGTCTCTGAGAAATCCTAGGTAATGACTGTAGCGAAGTAGACTTGGCCAGTGCCTCATTGTAATTATCCAGGGAGGCTTTACAACTGAAGAATGTGGTAAAAATAACTTCGAAGTACGTTCTGGTGGTAAACATCCAGACGACCCCAGCTCAATAGGTATTTCCCGTTCCATAGTATCAGTAGGAGGCGGCAAAGTATTTGGATAAAGAGCATGTAGCATTTCCATTTTCTCTTTCAAAGACCATCCTGGTATATAGTACTCTGCAGCTGTATCCATGGATGGTATAGTAATAAAACCCTCCTTCATAACAAGTTCTGGGTTAGCCGCCGGAAAAGCTGTGTGCCCGTCTGAATCCAAGAGGTCCGGGACTAACGGAATAATAGGAGGATTGTCTGTGTCAATGAACCGTAGCCGTAACTGAGGTAGACCGTGCACCATCCGTTACACGCCCCGTAGAGCAAGCTACTCCATGCTGTGCGTGAGCCTTGGTATTCAGGTTACATAACGGCTGATTAGGACCCATGCCGACCACCTTAACTCGGCTAACGGGATCCTGACCAAGCCGTGCTGGGGACGCCGAATCACCTGAGCGTGACACGATAGACAGCTCGGCGGGCAAGCTAGCTTGGATGCTGACCCCTAAAGGTTGACAGCCAGGGACTGTGTCCCTCCCGCTCGAAGCCTTAGCCTTGCCCACCGTGGGCATCGGCGACCCGGCTTCAGGACATGGGTGATGCTGGACCGAACCGAGCAGAGCACCGCGCTGCCCTACGGGGAATGACTCTTGACCTTGGGACCTAGCATGCCCTTTATCGTATGAGTCATATAGATAGGCCGCATTTTTAGATAGGGAGCCGGAGAAATCAATTTGCCTCTGTAAATCTGAGATTTTCCCTTCGTTACGTAACTCAAAGTCATGGAAGGACTGCCGCATGGATGATTGAATTTCCGACTTGAAAGAAGACAAAAGCTCCGTAAAAGCTGACAAATCAACCTGGCTAGATGAATAACTTGATCTAGATTTAGATTTTGACTTAGAGTCCGATTTAACTGCTGAACTAGAAGGCTGAGAGGCAGGTATGTTACTTCTAGAGGAATCTGAGATCTCTGACAATTTTCTCTTCCTCGTCTGATTACGTGCTTTATCTTAATCCATTTCTCCGTAGATAAGGCAGAACATAACAAACTGCGATCTTCAACAGTGCAAGGAGCTCCAACAAAACATGATGCACATAGAGAACTAACTCAGCCATAAATTTTTGACATTGAACACACTTATTTTGCGACATGGCGGGAAAGTTAAAAAAAGGGCGGGAAAATTCCTAAACTACACAAAGTCAAAAAGTTTTTACAAAAAACAATAATAAAGTCAATGCGATTGTCTGGTGACCAAATGCGATCTCTACGGACCGTACATGAATAACTCTGTAAGATTAAACTTGACAATAAACCTCTTCCACTCTGACACGTCCGTGTGTGACCATACAGAAAAAAATATGAAGGTGTTCAAAGAACAATGCTGTGACGTCACAGCTAAGGGAGATAACCATGTAGATATTTAGGCATACCACTAGGGATAGCTATGACTTAGAAACATTTTAATCTCTCTCATTCTGTATGTATCTGTGTCACCTACAGGAAACTGGCAACCATAATCCAGAGAAAACGTTTACGACATAATTATCTCTTTTATACTGACAATCAGGAATCTATGGACTGATCTACTCAAAATTCAATATTATCTGTCTTGAGAGATTGACTCAGTCTAGAATCATGTCTCTTTGGCGCTTACCTTAAAAACACGTCAGTATGGGGTTAAAGCATAAATTTTGAATGTTTTAAAAAGGAACTTCATCTTAGTCTGAACACAAGTTCTGCTCATGTGCAAAAAAGGAGATGAAACTTTTGAGCTTGTGAGCTTTTCTATATTTTTATCATTTATGTATTTGTGAATGCCCATGTTAGGCATTCAAGATTTAACAAATTTTAGTCAAATCCCGATGAGTCGAATGCCGGTGTCTCGCGAACATTATGCATAACTTGAAGTACTTGTCAGTCCCGACCATTCCCTGTTTTAGTTGTCATCATTTGAATACCGGTTACACGAATTCGTCTCATAAATACACACCATGACTCAGAAGAAAATTTGGTCCCATGAGATTCAAACAACAGCAATCTTGTATACAAAAGCAGAAGTCAGTCAATGAGAAGTTGATTGATGTAGCAAACTGATCCAATTAACAAACCAGCGCAGCTCACACCTTTCCGTCTTTGACGGGTGAGTTCAAAAGGCAGATTAGTGATTTTACGGAAATCACTGTCTGTGGTAATCAGACTGGAACTGATAAGGTGCCCCTATTAGTGATAGGGAAATCATTAGATAAACAAATGCTTAGGCGGAGGAATTTGGACTGGATCATCTTTTTTTCTACCCTCATAGATACACCTATGTCTCGAATACATCAATAAGTCGAATTTATTACTTTGTCCCCAGAGATTCGACTCATCGGAATTTGACTGTAGGTAGAAAAACCGCTGTTGAATTATGCATATATATTTACTATCTGACCCTTCCCATATAACTAGTGAAATCAAGTGATTCCATGTAACATGGGTTATACTTAGGACTACACTATCTTAGTACAGTACAGATTCTAGTACTTTTGTTGGGTTGAGTCCCATCTGGGAGTCGAACCCACACCCTCAGACTCAGGCACCTCACCACCAGCACACAAAGTCAGCCATCTAACCCACTCAGCCACCACGGCTTCCACACAGCTAATTCTATGTCACTTACTTTACACCTTCTCCCCTCTGTTCTCCAATAACAACCTGAACGATGAACTTGTATCTGTCGTAGCCCAGATCTGGAACAAACAGTCACTGATGATGATGAAAAGGGTTCAAAACATTTAAATCTGTTGTTTGAAAAAAAAATATATAAGTAAATAGCATGCATTTAGTTTGATTTACCAAAATGAAAGTATAACCTTGCTCGTAGGTAAAATAGGTTCTTAAATCATTTCATGCATTTTTGTCAACAAGCATCTCAAATCTAATTGGTTCTGGTGACTATATATTTTGCTATTTTATGAAAACATGTAGCATGCAGTTATATAGAAATACATTTCAATAAACTGTGCTTACAATTTGGTTATCACTGACTGTAATCAAGTGGTGAACATGTCTGCTTAACACCCCACTCAGCAATATTCCAGCTATATGATGGGCATTGACACTGGTCTGCAAATAATCAAGTCTAGACCAGACAGTCCAGTGATTGACTTCATGAACACGATGTACTCAATTGGGATATGATGACATGCATCAAACAAGTCAGCGAGTTTGACAACCCATTCCCATTAGCCGCCTCTTACAACTAGCTTGGAAGTCAAACATGCCATGCAAACAAATCCTCTAGTGAAAAGTCACAGCTGTACCTTTTAACTTTGTCTTGATATCATCTGAGATTGTTTTCGTGAGCTCTGTGGTTTCCTCGGAGTTGTAGACCTTTCCTGTGAGATGTTCCGCCAGCACCACGTGGATCATCTCCTTCACTGTGACTGGACGGAATCTGAAGACAACACAACACATCTCAGCATACATCATTCCTTCCACTGATAACAAATTTCACCATGCACCTTCATTAAGAGTGAGTGAGTGAGTGAGTTTGGTTTTACGCCGCTTTTAGCAATATTCCAGCAATATCACGGCGGGGGACACCAGAGATGAATCGAACCCGGGTCTTTGGCATGACAAGTTAACGCCTTAACCACTAGGCACACACACACACACACACACACACACACACACACACACACACACACACACACACACACACACACACACACACACACACACACACACACACACACACACACACACACACACACACACACACACACACACACACACACACACACACACACACACACACACACACACACACACACACACACACACACACACACACACACACACACACACACACACACACACACACACACACACACACACACACACACACACACACACACACACACACACACACACACACACACACACACACACACACACACACACACACACACACACACACACACACACACACACACACACACACACACACACACACACAATAATCATCACACAATACACAATACACACACACACACACACATACACACACACACACACACACATCACACACACATCATCAATACATCATCATCACACACAACACACATCATCATCATCATCATCATCATCATCATTAAGACTGGGTGGTGACATAGTTTAGGGAGTTATAGTATTTGCTCATCATGATGAAAACACGGGTTTTATCCCACAAGTGGCTATAATGTATTGTGCCCATTTCTGGAGATCCTCTATCCAACCTATTTTGATCATGTAGGTACCTGGTAGTGGTTACATTTCTGGTGTCCCCCGCCGTGATATTGCTGGAATATTGCTAAAAGCAGCGTAAAACTAAACTCAGTCAGTCAGTCAGTGGTAGTGGTTAAGCCCAGAGGGTGAGACTTTCCTTGTTACACCAAAGACCAAGGGTTCATTTACCCGTATGAGAACAATGTGCAGTGAGTGGGAAAGGCATGGGCCATTTGCGCACTTAAAAATTTCTGAGTGCATTTTTCTTCTTACAGATATGCCCTATTGACGCAAAGGCGATTTCATTTGAAAATTAAAAGTGTTACTACCCTATTCAATCATTTCATTAACCCTAATAAATGCTCGTTAGAAGTTGTCAACAAGACCTCACGAGTCCATACACTGGAGGCCAGTTTACTGACCAGGCATTTGTTGTCGCTTCAAAATGATATATATTTTATGAACCTAACTGACATATGGTTCATTTATTAAAACTGTCAATTTTCATGATGTCTGAAAACACTTATTGACCGCCATATTATCGACAGGATTAATATTAGAAACTATTTTTCGCAATGTTTTTAAAAAACAAATTTTCAGGAACGTGCTTCGACAACAGGTAAATGTAAATTGTCGAAGAGCAAAATCCTAATGTTTCATGGGAAATCATTATTGAAACTGAATAAACTAATGGATAAAATCAACAAAAGTACTCATTAGAAATGTCAAACGTACATCTAAGTTACTATTACCATCTCGTAATCCAAATGCTAAAACTAACAGACAGCTGGGGCCCCAGATTCCAATAACAGTTTAGCAACAAAAGCCTAAAGAAATTAAGGATCCCCCTTTATTTCTAACACTTGTTGAAAGTCTGATCAACCATAGAAAGCACCTGATCCTCTTTCTGGCAACCTCCTCAACATGCAGAGATACTGAGGACCAGGATTCCTCATCCACTGAGTGGGGGAAACAGGTACAGTGTGATATACAAATTTGCTTGCCCGACAGAAAAAAACACTGGACTCAGACGTCGGGCAATGGGTTCTTTCCACCCCTGGGTATCTCAATGGATACCCATGAAGATCTGGGTTAGAATTGACCTTCATCATTCCATGCTTGTTGTTAGAGACGACTAGCAGGACCAGGCGGTCAGACTCACTGGTTACCCATGAAGACTTGGACCTTAAAGAGACGACTAGTGGACTTGGTTAACACATGTCATTGTATTCCAATTGTGTAAAATAATGCTCATGCTGTTGATCACTGAATTGTCTCAGACTCGATTATTTACAAACTGCCGCCATATAGCTGGAATATTGCTGAGTGCGGCCTTAAACAACAAACCGACCAACCAACAAGAACCCACACACAGAGAGTTACATTCATGTCACTGTGTAGTGCAGTAATCCTCAATGGGAAGTTCACCCCTATTTTAGCTGACATCACCTATATTCATAACCTCGTCTGTTCAGTCAGGAAGCACTCAACATGCTCAGTGAAGTTTCCCTTCGGTCCACCAGCCAGTACCTATCTCTATGAATCATGTCTAAAAAATGTTAATGGAAAGTAATTTAAGAAGATTATAGATGATGTGTGGTCCCTGCTTCTCAAATCTCATTGGAAACATGTGTTGAAAGCTGTCAGACTTATTAAAGCCAGGCCCAGTTTAAGATCACTTAGCGTCATTTCATGATATACAATTTATTCATGCATAACTCTGTGTCTGCAAGTCCATGCATGCAAAGAGAACTTTCCAACACTATCAAAGCATACTAGATTCAGGCCTACAAACAGTCACACTGCAACACAAATAGATTATAATGCGCAATCAAATCTCAAATTAAAATTCACTCACTCTTTCCACATTGTTGAAAGTGTTCAGACCGAATCCAGTCTGTATAAATACATCAAAATGTCAGCAGACGTCAGATGTCATGAGGTTCGTAAGTCGCTCCACCACAAGAATGTCACATTTCGTTTCTCTATCAAGTTCAACAACAAATTCTGCTACGCAAGCTGAATACAGATGTGTCACGCCTGGTCTAGCACATTTAATCCCAGCACACTACAACTGGCCTCCAGCATCAAACAACCTCAACTGGCTGCTCTGAGCTCTGAGCTCTGACCGTCTGCTCCGTGGGCAAACATCCCCGCTCCAGGCAAGTTGGAACGCTGTTTGATGTCCAGACTTTACTGATATGTTCCCCAGTGCAATTTGCATATTGAGATCGAGAGTTATTGATAAAGGCTATAGCATATGGTTAAATAGGTCAATCACCTAAATTTAGCACGGTATAGTAAGTACATAATGGTTCATGGTTGAGATGGCACCAGATATTCAGGATTTCATGGTGCAGTGTCTCTTTTTTCAAGTCTTATGTAACTCATTCATTCACTCACTGATTTCTATGTATTTTTTTATACGTTCTTTCAGCCATTTATATTGACATTTGTTTTTATGCCTAATATCATTTGTTTGTTTGTTTATTCATTCATCCTCCAATTCCCTCTCCCTTATATTTGTTTCACTGTTATATATATTGTCGCCTCTTATTTCATGCTTTCATTCATTTATTTAATCGCTTATTCATTCGCTAGACATTTATTGGCATGCTGATTGACTGATTTACGTGGAATATGTATGGTCAGCTACTAAAAAAGTGCACACATCTAATATTTCCACAGCAAGTGCATATTCATAAAAAAACAACAACCACTAAACAAGATATGGTAATCTTTGGTCAAACTTGCAAACTTAAGTTATAGTATTATGACGTCGAATTTGAACATATATAGATACAGTTGAGTACCGTTATCTCGATATTCATGGGACCAAAAAAAATATCGAGTTACCCGAACTTCGAGACGCCAAACCAGGGCATATCATCACATATCCCTATGAAAGAAAACAAAACATTTTTCAGTATCTTTTTATTCGAAACTGTAATCCGTTATCAGTAGTGTTTAGTCGTAACAGTGGGTACTTCCTAATTTATTCCTTCTTAATCAATCCTAGTTAGAAAAACAAACAAGTGACACCTTCAACTCAATTAGCCCTAATTAGTTTAAACTACTGAATCCCTTTGATTCAAGCCGCACATTGTGTAAACGTGTGGAAACAAACTCAGTTCAGAGGGATACTTGCCCATGAAAGGTAGGTGATGTCGAGTTTCTTTGCAAATATCGAGTTAAAAGAGTAATTTTGCTTGTTGGGATCATGAAATTATATCGAGATATCTGAAATATCGAGACATCCATATCGAGTTAAAAGAGCTTGAATAATGATAAATTATGAAGGATTTTGCTGGGACCGAGATGTTACATTGCAACAACCGAGATATCGACTTATCAGAGTTCAACACAACAGTGCTCGACTGTACTTTCACACACTAAAAATCCTGTTAATAATTCAAAAGTAGGACAGATTTATGTCCTTGACTCAGTTCAGTGTGTCATTAAATATATATTACTTTTGAACAAGTGGAGCAGTATTATTGACAGTATATTTTATGTTTTTTATTTTTAAATTTTCAGGGGACGATTTTATGTCAATAAGGCATTTCCCTACAAACAACTTTTGCTATTCTCCAATCGACTTCAATGTTATTTCAATGAACAAAATATATTTCATTGGCACATTTTTTATCTGATCTAAAACATTATTCTTGCTACACTAACAGAACATGCTGGTGAGTTGGTTGTTGTTTAACAGCGGGCTTTGCAATATTCAAGCTATATGGCAGAGGTCTATATATAACTGAGTCTGGACCAGACAATCCAGTGATTAACGGCATGAGCATCGATCTACATAACTGGAATATGGGACATGCGCAGTTGGGAACCTATGACATGTGTCAACCAAGTCAGCGAGCCTGACCACCCGATCCCGTAGTTGCTTCTTATGACAAGCATGGGTTCCTGAAGAACAATTGTAACCCGCACCTTCAAGAGTTTAACAGAAGACTGACTGACTGAGTTTGGTTTTACGCCCATTTTAGCAATATTCCAGCAACATCACGGCAGGGAACACCAGAAATGGGCTTCACACAATGTACCCATGTGGGGATTCCAACCCGGGTCTTCGGCGTGACGAGCCAACGCTTTAACCACTAGGCTACCCCACAGCCCCTTTAACAGAAAAAAAGAAGAAGAAGAAAAACCTATTTTTGGTATCAGAGTCCACATGGCCAATGGTACTACAATACATAAGATAACAATTGTATTTTAAAAATGTGATTATTACTAGCAATATAATGTCATACACAACAGTTCACGTTTGGATTCACCCTTACTCATATAAAAACAGCGAAGGAAATCTCCATTTTCTATCAACATCCACAAAGAGTTCACATTTGCACTCAACCATCTCAATAAAAACCCTTCACTCAGGTCCAAGATGGAATTATTGCATCTTCATGAAGTGATTTGTCATATACTTTAATGAGATTGGTATTCAAAGCGCCAAGCACATTTTGAACTTTGAAATTTACATAATTTCTTCTTAAAAAACAAAACAAATTCAAAATTTGTATAAAGGTTCATAATTGATGTTATGATTTATAAGTGTTTTTGCTGAGATGAAATAACACTGAAGTCAATGGCAGAACAGCAAACATTGACAAATGTTTTGCAGGAGGATCTACAAGAAGGAAATCTGTATAAACAATGGAGGAAAATGGTGGGAAGTGCACGAAAAAGAGAGAATTGCAGATCAGTATGTATGTTGTGAATAGACCCTTATTCCTCCATATCAGCAGTGTTACAGAGTTCCATTCATGCAGATTGTGAAAGAGTATACAGTAATATTCCACTACCGTGGACTCTTATATCAACTCTCGCGTCAGCCACAAGACCGGCCATAACTAGATACATACTCTGTCAGGCAGTAGACATAAAACATTGAAAATAAAAATATTGCAGCAGCCATTTAGGATACTTCCTGAAATAACTTCATATCTATATTAATCCCAGTCACTTATCTTTCTGCATTTATGACATGTAATTTAAACAAACATGAATGAAGCATAGAGTAAACATCTACAACTGTAACGCAATATAACCGGTTTAACGGTTCAGACATGAAATCGATATGTATTGCAATACGCTGATTGAAAACCAGTATTTCGACATGCATTCAAAAAACTTTGTAACACTCAGAAATCTTCGGATATTTCCATTTTTCACTCCGGAAGTCAAGTTATGTTCAGGCTGGTTTCTTGGGTCTGGTGTCTGCGCTAACGCTGTCAGGGATTTACCTTAAATCCTCTATTTGAGGGTCCCTGGGACTCATACTCTATTTCAGGGGTCATTGTATTGTGTATCATGATCATCACAATGTTACAGTAATTAAACTGCAAATGATACCATAACCCAGCTAGTAGCAGACTCAGTGATAACTTACTGTTACTTGATCAAAATTTTTATAAAAAGTACTTGGACCTTTTCTGCATCCCTGTGGATGCGCTAATAAATTTTGTTGTGTCCCTTGTCAATTTTTATGCATATGTAAATACCTGGTTGAGTCAGAGCGTTAGTGCAGGCTCAACAGACCCTTGTAACCAGGCCGAGTTATGTTCGGTTTGGAGTTGTGTTCTTAATTTTTGTTCAAATGTTTCGCGACATTTTGGATATGAATGTTTTAAATGTTTACTCATTAATGACCAGTGATCTCAGATATGTCCTGACCCGGTCAAGTTGCTGTCTAAACTCTCAGGGCTTTTTTGAGAGTGGAGAAACAAGTTCAAACTAGTAACCACTGTGTTGATGTTAAATTGTTCTTTTCCTTGTTTCATTTGTTCCAAATATTATTTATTTTGTCATGACTAAAAGTTTTTATCAAAGCTTAATCAAGCATAGTGATTTTGTTGTGTTTTTGCTTTATAAATCAAGCCTTAACTTGATCATAAGTATTATTTTGTTAAAAACAAATTCTTGCAATCTGTTGCAATACACATCGCATTCTACCATGACTTCAGTAAACACTGGATTGTGATTGGTTAATTAAAGTCATTCAGAAGTATATAATCACGTTATACAGGTCTCTGTTTTCCGTGCGCAATCATACATGGTTTACGGTAACGCACTATTTTTGTCTGCCAACTAACATGGCGGACACCAAACAACCTACCGATGCATCGATAAATTACGGCGATTTTACTGTCGGAAATTACACATATGTCTTTAAAGATGGATTTAGCGATGACGGGCTCGACTCACTACTTGCGTAAATCACAGCAATAGGTGTTTATACATACAAAAGTACTTCGAAAGCATGGAAACAAATATTCAGTCGAACAAGATCAAAACATCGCCTGCTTTCCTAATAAAAATTCAGCAAAACAAATATGTTTACGCTGATTCTATGTTATGTCAGAATAGATCCAGCAATAGACTGCTAAATAATTTCCGTGGTTAAATTTATCATCAGTTTTCGCCAACGATATCGCCACTGATCTTGATCCGTAACGGAGGATGCATTAACATCGAACGCCCGAAGAAATTGTAATGCCTTCCGTCCCACATAAATAAACAGTTGGGTTATCAATTCAAACAAAATGATATTTTGAAATTTGTACTGTTTCAAATTTAGAGGTAGTAAAACACAATTACAGAATCTGCAAACCTTACCGTGTTTATGCCAGAGGTACACCCTCATGTCCTGATCCATCCTTTCTGAAATATCACCACAAATCTGGCTCTTTGTCAACAGACTCGCTAACATGCCAGCTAATCCGATTCAATTTGAATTTACTACACTTTGAAGCCACTAGGTCACAAAACACTTTCCAAAATGTAGAAAATAATATCCGTGAGAATCGAATTTGAGCACAAAGTTCACACATGGGTGTGTAAGAGTCACCATGGCTGTCGACGCAGACATAGAGGTGGGTGAAATCATCAAGTTGACAGGGCTAAAAAATTCAACAGTATCTAAATTGGTAGAACACAGACTTCTCGTTACAGCAAAAGCTCCTCTACTCTTAAATTTTGTACCAGTACCAGTAATTAGATATCAAAGACTATCTCAGTCATACAATCAGGTTAACCTTTGGCGAAACTGTCAGAGGCTCTCCTGTCGATCTTCCCAAATTTGCACGTAAATGTAAACAATGACTTCCGAGAAAAAGGTCAAGGCCATGAGGTTGCTGCCATTATTCTGGTGGGGTAAATGTCTAC